CCACTAACGGCGCCGAGGACTCGCGCGAGCGGAAGAGCGCGCTGGCCGCAGACCTGGAGCAGTGCGCGGGGCAGGAACGGGACGGCGTGCTGCTGCTCGTCGGCTCGGGCAGGGAACCGGACTTCAAACGGGGCTCGCAGAACATCGGTCTGCTCGCTAAGACGCCCCTGGGCTACACACGTCCCGTGAAGAGGAATAATATCAGGAAGCGACGGATTCAGAACCTCATCTACGACGCGCTCGAGAGACCACGAGGATGGGCGCTGCTCTACCACGCGTTTGTGTAAGTGAACCCAGATGCATTTCACACCCAGAAGCGCCCACACATAGAGAGAACAGACCAGTTAATTATAAATTACAACAATTCAGTTCAATCCAATTTATTTGCACAGCCCCTTTCATTGTTCCAGCGGCAGCTTTACAGTGACTGCAGCCCCATAAAGGTCCCTAAGATTAATAATAACTGATAAGTGAACCCAAAAAAGAGAGGAAATTAAATGCACAGATATGGAAATCCCATTTGTGTTTACTGAGTCCTGGCTGGAATTGTTGTATACAAACAAGTAACCAACTAATCAAGATTAAAGGAGCAAATGTCAAAGTCTAAAAGTCATTCATTGGAAAAATCTATTCTGATTAAACACTAATTTGAATATTGAGGTTCTCTTTAATGTTTATGAAGGTTGCGGCCACAGTTATGTATATTTACAGTTGTTTGACTATATAGAGAATGATAGCTTGCCTTTTAATGAGCAGGAATGCAGTTGTTTTGAGTTTTGTGCTTTTGCATTAAGTAAGTAAATTTTATTTATATAGCACATTTCAACATAGCAAAGCTATCCAAAGTGCTTAACAATGTAAAATAAAATTAAAAGAGAAAAGGAAACACAGAAAAGAAGCAAACAAGACAGACAATAACACAACATTAAGCACTTTTAAAGGGTTCGTTCACCCAAAAATGAAAATTAGCCCATGAATTACTCACCCACAAGGCATCCTAGGTGTATATGACTTTCTTCTTTCAGACGAATCGAGTCAGAGTTATATTAAAAAGTGTCTTTGATCTTCCAAGCTGTTTAATGGCAGTCAGCAGGTGTTGCAGTTCATCAGTCCAAAAGAAGTAGGGCTGTCAAAACAAAATTAGAATTTCGAATATTCGTCGAATTTAAAATAAAAATCCACATTTTAGTTGTGCGTTAAGGAGGCAGCCTTATCAGAGGTGCACGAGATGACGATGTAAGTGTCATTGTATTATAATGTTTTTGTTAGCCTATCCAGTTGAAGCCACTAGATGTGGTGCTGCTGCATTGTTCATTAAAAATATTGCGAAAAAAGAGAACATTAATGCGGAGAAGATCTTGTTTACATCAAAACCGAAACCAAGCCGTTCACACAGAACACATATTTCGCACATTTTCTAGAGGGACATCTATCACTATTGCACTCGCATCTCGCACAAAGGAGCTGCATGTTTAGAAAGCCATGTAAAATTAATGCAAGTTTAACTTTGAAAAAAAAAAACATATATCAAGACTTTATGGCGGGTTTTTTTTTCCCCATCCCAATGTACTCTATGTGATTAACTTTCTGCCCTTTGTATTAAACTATGCATACATACATGATGCTGTTTTGTTTATAGTTGTTTAAGCAACTTAATTAATTATGATTGGTTTATAAACATTATTTTAAACATTATGCACTTTTTTTTACAGATAGTTATGTTATCTTATGCTTCGAATAAACGTGCATTAGTAATATTTTGCTCGATGCGCCCTCTTGTGGTCTCAGAAGAGAAGCCAAAAGCTTATGCAAAATGCATTTTAAATTTGAATGTAATTCGAATTTTGATAATATTTAAGTACAAAATTCGAATTTAGTTTTTCAGCCATTTTGACAGCCCTAAAAAGAAGTGAAATAAAGCGCATCCATCCATAATAAAAAGTGCCTCACATGGCTGCGGGGGGTGAACAAAGGCCTCCTGTAGCGAATCGATGCGTTTTTGTAAGAAAAATAACCATATTTAAAACGTAATAATCAATTTAATCTAGCTTGCGCTCACTGTTGTACACGAAAGCAGCTCCGGGCGGATGACGTAGGATGTCGGCGTTGCGCATGCGCCGCTCAGAAGTGATGAACTCGGAAGCGCAGGGGAGAGATCAAAACAAAACAACGGTCACAAATTAGAAGTACAAAATGAGGATTTGTAAAGAAGAATGTCGGAGGATTTCGATATAAGCCAAGAGGAGACTGGTTTTCCTTTGCTAAAGTAAGAAATCTTTGCTTCCTTTGCCCCTGTAAACAAATGTAGGTTTTCACGAGACTCACCGGCGCATGTGCAACGCCGACATCTTACGTCATCCTCCCGGAGCTGCTTCCGTGTACAGCTGTTGGCACAGGCTAGATTAAAATGATTATTACGTTTTGAATATGGATGTTTTTCTTACAAGAACGCATCGATTCGCTACAGGACGCATTTGTTCCCCCCCTGGAGCCGTGTGAGGTACTTTTTATTATGGATGGACGCGCTTTATTTCACTTCTTTTGGACTGATGAACTGCAAAACCCGCTGACTGCCATTAAACAGTGTGGAAGATCAAAGACAATTTTTAATATAATTCCGATTGGATTCATCTGAAAGAAGGAAGTCATATACACATAGGATGGCTTGAAGGTGAGTAAATAATGGGCTAATTTTCATTTTTGGGTGAACTATCCCTTTAAGTGTATAATGTGTTCCAATTTGTGATGGAGCTCTCCATGGTGCTGAGACCTCCAGCTGCTACCGCCAGAGCTGAGTGACCAGAAATCAAAGCACACAAACGGCTAGCTGTCTAGCAGCCGTTTGTGGTCGTATAACAGCGCCATACGCTCACTGTAGAGCCAGAGATTCTGCCTGTGATCGTTGTGGCGCTGAGATAAGAACGCTGTGTGCTACACTGAAGTAAAGAGGTCCAGCCTTGACAAAGTGCCTCAGGTCTGTGGAGCTGTCCATGGTCCTGATATCAGTACTGGTGGAGCGATTATACAGCACAGACAACACATAAGTGACTCTTATCTTAGAAAGGCAAGAATACATGTTAATGCTGTTTAATTGAAATTGTTCTTTGTCAGGCATTAGAATGCAGATGAAGCCCCAAGCTTGACACTAAACCTCTGTAGTCTACACACACACAAACACATATTATTCACGGCCCATTTTCTGTCCATTGCGCTTAATGCCTCATGCAGGATGTGGATCATACAGTATCTGCAACTCAGCACAGCTTTTTCCCCAGTGTGTGTGGTTTCTCAGACTGTGTCAGGGCTTTTAACCAGGCCCTTTGTATCATGTGAGGTTAGTCCACACTATATTAATGTGAATAATTGATTAAAAAATCTCGTTGTGTGCTGAAAAGTGTTGTGGCATGTGTGTGGTTTGTGTGTCTGGATGTGTGTATTTGGGAGTAATTTGCAGTTAATAATTCAGCTTGCCTCCACACTACTATAGCAGTCAGTATCTAGAGGAAGGCTTAAATTAAGTTGTTAAACATAGGGTGGGACTTCCCTTATTGTTGTTGTTTAATTGATCCTTTTGTTAATCCCAGCATTGCTATTATAGTCTCTGTGGAGCAAAATAAAAACATCTGCAACAATAATAAAAGAAAGCAAAATTCATTTAAAGATTACATAGCTATGGTATACAATAAACATAAATTATGAAATAAAATAAGTTTTAGAAAAAGTATTCAAATCTTATTTCCCTGCATAAAATGTGTAGTACAAATATATA